GGGCAGTTAGAAGCATTACAAGAAAAAGGCCTCCATGGCCGCTCTCAGGTTTCTCTCTGATACGATTCTACGATTCGTACGCATGTGCGTTCCGACGTTTAATGCTGGATTCACACTGCATACGACGACTCTGCAACCAATCAGAAAACAGGATTTTGTTTCGAATCGATGATACTATTTTTCTGATTGGTTGCAGAGCGTCGTATAACGCATATTTGATGCAGTGAGAATCAGTATGAATCCAGTATAACTGCTGATTTAACTTAAAATTTACAACAATTTACAAGTTTATCGTAATTAAAGTCTCACGTAATTAATAATATTAATTTTTATATAAAAAATTTCCTTATATATGTAATATAATTAATAGAATAAATCGCAATAATGTGTATTGCAACAAAGTTCAATTGCCAAAGTGGATCGTTAGCATTTTGAAATTTTACTGTGTCACGAAAATAGAAAAACAGACAAGTGATTTGAGTGATATAGATGTTCATTTCTTTATAAAATTTTCTTTGCGCGTTCGAATGACATGAATTTATTATTGTTATATTATAAACAAAGTTGTATATAAAAATAAACTATGGCTCGTATTACTGACAAAATTATGGGAATCTTGCAAGAATGTCATTCTAAAGATGATTTTAAGGATAAAACAAAAAGCTTGAGTGAGACAAAAAAATCTAGGAGAAACAACGAGAAAGAAAAATTGGAGGAAATCAAAAGTAATGTAGAGAAATTATTCACAGATGCACAATGCAGCTATGTAGGAAGTGTTGAATATGCCAGTTTGAATAAAATGTTAGCTATTTGTAATTTAGAGGTAATTGAATTTTTAATATAAACTATACGGTTTATAAAAAATATAAATTATTCTATAATACATGTATACTTAATATATTGTAATAATTAAAAAATACATGTGATAATTTATTTTGCACTAAATTTTATATATGTATACACATATATGTATATTCTTCTAGATTGGCAATGAGATTACAGCTATTCATCATTTGGTTGAAGCTCATGCAGTAATACTTCGACAACACATCTTGCATAGATATCAAAAGACTCAAATGCGTGAATCTGTGAGGAATGAATCTCAAATTTATGGGCTAAGACCAACACATGTAAAGTTCGAGACAAAATTTACAAACAGTGAATCATTAAAAGCAAAATTATTAGAATTACCGAAAGGTATAGATATCTTTTGTCTTTTATTATGATTTTTTTTCATATAAATTAAAATTTTTCTAATTTCTTTTACAGAGTGGTACATGATTCAAGTTACTCTTCCGTATGAATCTCCAACTACATCAAGATATGAAAAGCGTACGTCTAATGTAATGCATGCTGTACATATTACAGTACTTCCTACGGGTACATCTGATATAGAACCATTATGTATAACTGTGCCAAAGCCTATGACACAAGTTTCTTACGATGTCTGCAAAGAAATTCGGAAACTATTGGATGGCTTAACGTCTGTGCTAAAGACTACTTACACGAATAATACGCAGTATTGGATGATGCGTGTAAATCAAAACAACAAAATGAAGGTAGATTTTTGTAATTAGAGCAACATACAAGTTCGAAATTAAACACTAAGAGCAATTTTAAACTAATTTATTACAGACGGCTATAAGCGCATTGGAGAATGTATGGTTAAGAGAATGGAGAATATTATTTATGGCTGACCCTATTGAAAACATGGAAATGGTAGATGAAATTCATCAAATGATCGATAAATTAATATCAGATTTCAAATCTTCGTAAGTATTTATTGGAATTTCATTGTTTTTTTATGCATATTAAATTTCATTATTTTATTTTTCTAGTGATGAGATATCAAAAAGATGTAGGTGGCTTTTGAGAAAAGTAGCCACAGGTGCATGCTTTCTTACACGTGAGGAAATAGAGCGTGCAATTAAATTTCTACTTCCCAAACATGAAAAACTTGCAAACAATGTCATTTTATCTATTTATGGAAAATTACCATATATAAAGAACCTAAAGAATACAAAGCGGAAAACATTGGTTCTAATTATTGATGAGGTAAGAATGCAATGTGTACAAGCATAATATTAATGTATGCTTAAGAATACGAATTTATGTAAATGTGTTTCGTATATAAAGATCTTTTTTATTTTTTAAGCATATAGATTATATAGCGTTTGAAGCTATGGAAATTATCAAAAACCATCCTGTTACCCGTTTTTCATCTCTGCATGTAGCATATGCATTATTCAAAGAACACGAAGATACTATTTTGGATGGTTGTAAACTAATTAAAGCAAAGGATGATATGGGAATTTGTGTAGTCAATCCTTCCGGTGATCTCGAAAAAATGGAAAAACGTGTGAAGATTTTCATGAACTTTTGGTTACCAAAGTGGAGAAGTTGTTATAATGCACGACCTAGTGAAGAAATGTTCGAAGATGCGTTAATAAACCATGATATTCTAATGTACAAAAATTTTATCTTATTTATGTATTAGCAGTCATTAATCTACTTATAATTTCATTGCTTGCATTTTCGTTTACTCTTTCCTTCATTTTTATAGGTATACTGGTCATGGAAATGGCATAGAATATTTATCTGGAGAAGATATCGAAAGATTGAGAGTGAAATCTACTGTTTTATTGTTTGGATGTAGCAGCGTAAAATTACTTGTGATAGGTGGAAGATATCCACCTTTTGGCGTTTCAAATCAATATTTAATAGCATGCAGGTAAAAAAATATTTTTTATTTATATATGTACCATATATATAAGAATTTCTTTTCGTTTAAATTTATTAAAAAAATCGCTTACGAAACATTTCTCTTTAATTCACATTTATAAGTAAATTAATGGTGTGTTAATTTTCAATTTTTAGTCCTTGCCTCTTAGGTATGCTTTGGGAAATAACGGACGCTGATATTGATAAAATGACCGCAAATTTTATGAGTAATTGGATTCCTTCGTCTGTAGAGAAATCATGGGCTGAGGTAGATAAGGATAGTTGGATTTCTGGCACTCTAAGTTAGTATTAGAAATTGAAAAAACTCTTTATATTTGTTCGTTTAATATAATATGCACCATGACTCTTTACTACTAAATTTTTTAGAATTTACAAAAAACGGAGTAAAGGATAAAACAAAAATGGAATCAGAAATGTTAAGGGCAGTGGCAAAAGCTAAGAACAGTTGTATACATTATATGACAGCAGCTGCAATAATAGTACGAGGTCTACCAGTAAAAATAATTTAATTCCTTACTAATGTCATTAATTATATTTTTGTGCACTGATATATAATAATTCAAGTTTCTAAATCGTTTATAAAGCAATTGCTTGTTGGAAGACAAGACTACGACAATTGCTTGTGAAGCAAAATTATAATGTGTATATATATATATATATTTTAAATTTTAATGCGAAGATATTTTGGAGACGTATTTTATATAAAAATAATAAAAGTGAATAAAAACGTGTCTTGGTCAATTATCTCCTTCACTGGTTTTAACTCAGGTTATGGTCTTTGGTCACATAATGATCTGCGGTTCTGGTACAGAAGTGGAAATGCTCTTGTGCGGCAAAACCTGTCCACCATTAATATATAACTCATCTTTCACGATAACATCTTCTCCTAATACAGTTGTACCTTCCATTCTCACCCATCGTCCTACGACGCTTCTCCATCCAACAATACAACTGTTTACATATTTTTAATTACTTTGATGTAAATTTTATGTTTTATATATTTACAATACACACAATTAATACTTGCCCATCTAGCCAAGCATGCTCTTTTATTACAGCTGCCTTAAGAATAGTACTTCGTTTAATACAACATCCATCAGCTAAAGTGGCACCAGGTCCAATTGTGACATTGGGTCCTATTCTACAATCTTTGCCAATTGTAGCAGTTGGATCAATCAAGACATTGCCTACTATACCAGGTCCAGAATGAAGCTGTTCAGGATGCTTTTGCCTCAATGAAGCAAGATACATAGACATTCCTAAATAAAGTGATGGATACTAAGTATGAATGAACAATTAACTCGTACATAGAATATATATATATATAAAGGTTGTCCCACATCCATCCAGAAACCTGGTAATTCCATAGCGTATAATTCTCCATCTTGAGCCATATTAGGAAAAACTTCCTTTTCGATACTCGTAGGTTTCAATTCTATTCTATTCAATACACTTGGATTAAGGATATACATACCTATATTTTGCAAAAAAAAAAAAAAAAAATTGTGAAATACACATATACATCTTTCCAAACAACTCTAAAAATCTTTCTACTATTTTATACCTGCATTAATTTTATTGGATATAAATTCTTGTGGTTTTTCAACAAAACTCTGAATCTTTCCATCTTCTTCATATACAACCACACCATATTTTGATGGCTCCTCTACTTTAGTGACAACTATAGTTCCTTCTTTACCATGATTCTCATGGAATTCAAGGAGCTGTTTAAAAGGAAATTCACAAATGATATCAGAGTTCAAAACAAAGAATGGGTCATCACTGGCACATAAGTATTCACGCGCGAGCGCAAGTGGTCCAGCGGTACCCAATGGTTCTGGTTCATGAGAAAAGATAAGTCGTACTCCTAATTTCTTTGCTTCATGAACCAATTCTTCTTCCATCTGTTGTGCCCGATAGGAAACGGCCAATATAACTTCAGTTACATTTGTTTGTACCTAATAAAAAATTAAGAAGTATACTTAGAAAGATAATGAAGAGTATACTTGTATGAAACTTTGATAAATCAATATTATAAATATTTAAATATATACCAGTGCTTCGATCTGATGTAAAAGTATAGGTTTATTTGCAAACTCGACAAGTGGCTTAGGTCGACTTAAAGTAAGAGGTCGCAATCTGGTTCCATAACCACCCACAAGTATTAAAGCTCGCATGGTCTGTAATTTCTTTCTTTTTTCGTGCATTCCTATAAATTCTGTAAAAAATAATAAACAAAAAGATTTCGTATTCAGAACGGATTTTTTTTTAAATTGTAAATTAATGTAAATAAGTTTAAATACTTTTTATATATTATTAAATTACAGTTTATATGATAGACGTAACTAATGACCTACTTTAATTTACAAAATACAGAATTATATTTTATTTTATGTTCTTGCATATTCTCTCTATTTGATATTATAAGTAAATAAATTTATTTATACTTGTTACTCTATCCCAACATACATTACATGATATGTTTAGTACTAGTAAAGATTATTATATTATATTGTTTAATCAGCCCTTTGGTGAAATATGCAATGTTACTTACGTTAACTATCGTCTTGATCATAACATTGACGAAAATAATTCGATATCTCAGTGATAATTATTGCCACGTAGATGGGCTCGATAGAGACAAGCGCTACGTGTTCACTGACATGTTCGTGTTTATGTTTACGATGAGAACAATTCTACTTCGCGAGATGATATCACATTATTAATGTAGATGAATAAACCTATCAAACATTTTTTATTGAGCATTTAATGATCACAATGATATTTATTCACTTTTTGTTTTATGGAACTGCTGTCAATCACTATCTGTCTCTGTCGCGACACTGACAAGCTCGAAGGAATGCTCGAAAGAATGCTGGAGTGATCAAATTGTGGGGACATTGTAGACCAATATAAATCTCCGAATTTAATAGAATAAAAAATCCTCTTTTACCAGATTGGAGTAGACGCAAAATTGGATAGTGATAAAATGTATATTGTATTAAAATCAGAAAAAAATTTTTTAATTTACATTTTTTTCTACTCGAAGTCATTTGACGAAGATATTTCCTTAATACACAAGTTCTATAGCGAATGGACAAAATAACAGTGCATCGCTAAGCGGATTACGTGAACGAATAAAAGTGAGTTTATAAAACTAAAAGATTAAATGTTTAAAAAAAAGATTCACATTCACCTGTAAATTACGTGTATACGGCTGCTTGTCGGAGACAGTACGTGCTCGATTTTGCAACAGATGTCATTGCAATATGTTAAATAAGGACAGATGAACACGTTTGAGTGAGACAACAAATAACATAATATAATGAAAGAATGAAAGATATCATTGTCGAATTTGGAATTAAAAAGTCTGTACCATCAATCTCGATCAAGTTCGGACAAATTTTGTGACCCCCCCTCCCCCGAGAGCTTAGAAGTAATAAAGAACATTGATAATATCAACTATTTTGAATGCTCTAAAAATATAACTAATAATATTAATATAATATGATGTTAAAATTTTATCTGTTTTATTATTAAATAATTTTAGAAAATATGTATCATTTTTTATGATAAAATAGAGATTAGGTAATTAGATAAAATCCTTATTAACTTATTGTTGAAATAGCCAAAACACTCTTGATCATGTCAGTCTTCTTCAATTACTTCTGTGTCTTCGGAGTAGTCACGCTACTTCAGTAAGAATGGATACCATATATGTAATTACATATATGATGGATACATTCAGTATAATCTTGCATGTATATATTTCATGTCATTGGGCGGGTATTGGATGACAAACAAAACAGTGACAAGAATGTTTATATATAGTATGATAGTACATACTTATTTGTTTAAAAGTACATTGTGCTAAACAATCCTGATGTAAGACTGAAATATTATATATTTATACGGTATACTGAAATAAAGGCTATCAAAATGATGCTTTATCCATGTAGGTAAATTTGAAAGTGTTGAACAAAATATATTATTCATACATGTATATAAAAGGCTTTATTGCACAAGAGCAAAACTGTGTTCATTTATTTAGATAAATAAAATACAGAGAGAGTTGAATAAGATATTACACGATCATTTCCAGCTCCCGGGCATAGTCTATCGCGAGAGCTGCCAATTCAGAACTCGGGATAGGCTCCTCAGATTTTTTCTCGCTAGTCGTGGTGAAATAAAAATAGCCATCTTTGGAAAGATTCCAGTTCTTCTTGACGGCAAAGGCCTTTATGTCCTTCTCTGTGCTTAAATTGAGCATTCTTGCGGCGTCTTGAATGGAAATCTTATCGTATGCGCTTTCCATGCATGCACCAATCTCATCGCGAACAGTATTTAATAAAATGTCTATGAAGAAATTATACGATGCGGCTGGCACGTTACCCTTAGCCAGGAAAATCTTATTATATGAACCCTCCATCAAATATTGCTCCAAACTCAAGGGATGCCTTATGTATACGTTTGACTGTATCTGATCAGATGGTAGAAGTTCCAGCTCCGTGTGAAATTCAGCAACTCGATTTTGAGATAACAAAAACAAAAGATTGAGACCAAGAAGTTGATATTTGTATGCCGACTCCATCAATCCAGATTTATAATCGAAATAGTAACACTTTAGTTGAGCCATATATCTTTCGAAGGAAGGTATATCCTCAGTGGCAATGCTCCATTGTGCTCCAATTTCCAATATGTCTCCTGTGATTCAAACAAAATAAAATTTTTGTTTTAATCTCATAATAATTTGATGTATTAACATTATGACTCAAGAGCTTAAAATTAGCAATACATACTAGCGATTAATAATTCATTTTGACTGGCCGTGCTATTTGACGTCGGGAGAAACATCAGATGAGTAAGTCCGATCTATATAAAATAATTATCACTAAACTATTTATTGTTATACAATCAAAATGTTATTTCTATCAAATTATATCTAAACACATTTTTAAAAATACATATCTAAAAGCTGAAGTATTAAAAGAAATGATTATTAAAATTTGAAAACAAAGTTGATCGCAAGTGATGACAATCCATTTTCATAACCCACAAACGCGATGAGGTTATGATGATATTTTTTATCAGTAAATACCCTATTTAAAAACGCGAATGAAGTATGTAAATTACCTTCAATTGATTGAGTAATTCACCACATTTCTTCAAATTACACGGCGTTTTTGTCCATTCGCGTTTTAAATTCTGATACAAGGCAACAACATCCTCGAGGGCTGCCATTTTTAATATCTCGCCACTTGCCTCATCTCACCACAAAACAACGAGATATTTAAAGCCCTGTGTCCAGGATTCGGATCGAGAAATGTGTAGCCAATCAACTTGCCGTTTTTCCGTAAAACATGTTGATTGGTTACAGGTTTCTGCATTCTAGAATTTGGACCGAGTTTCAGCATCGTGGACAGAGCTTTATTCCATCGTAGATTAGAAAAAGACGAAGAGCAAATTGAACCAAGATTAAAATTAATTTAATTGATGGAAACGGGCATTAGAGAGTCAACCAATCAAGATTCCCTTCTTTTCCGTGAAAATAGAAAGAAAGGAATTGTAGACGGTTTGTTAGCCCGCCAATCCCGCCATGGGCGCCATGTGATGTGCGATTTGATCACAAAGATTTGAGAGCATTAAGTTTATTTACTGGTCATATGCGCAAAGTGAAATTTTGTAATTTTATAAATTTTCAATTGATTCTTTAACAGTAATCTTTAACAGCGATTTTGTGACATTAATCTTTATTGCATCCCGTTTAATACTCGTGTTTATAGTTAGAAACATGGCAGTGCAACCTAACCAACAGTTTAACATGGGTATATGTATATATATATATATATAAGATTTTATTTGACTTAATGTTTGTGTTGTTTCAATATAATAATTTATTTCTCAGATCCTCCTACGCAACAGAGCTTTGTCAGATTTTTCAAAAATCTTCCCGAAGTGAGTATTTAAATTATTGTTTACACATAAGTAAACTATCTTTAAAATCCTTTATTTTTCATAATTATTATGTATTAATTATTCTTTTAATGTTAACACAATTGTTAATTCTTATTGTTTTTAATTAATACATTTTAATATTTTAATTTGTAAAAAATAATTGACTTCATAATATATTTTTTTACATTGTTAAAGTATGTCAAAATATATTTGAAAGAAAAAATTAAAGTTATGATAACTGAAGTAAAACTGTTTGTATTATTTTAATGTTAATATGATAGGTGAGTCATGAAGCAACCTTAATTTTTCCTTTAAAAATCAAGGTGGTGTATATTAAGATTACTTATGAGGTCTATTGTTTTTAGCTGAACTTCTTGCCACAGTTTATCTTTATTCTTTTTTTCTTTAATATGAAAAGAAAAAGAGAAAGGATGAACTGTACATGAGTTCAGCTAAAAAGAAGAAGCCTGTTAATTCATCTATGTGTGGATTAACTCGTGTAACATCTATTGAAATAATATTATAACAAAAATATTTTGAATTTCTCAAAAAAATCTTGTAATTTTTTATATATAAATATTGTTTTTTTACAATATTTATATTTCAAAGAAATGAATATAGTTGCCATGTATAAATTTAAATAAATTATATATATGGATTTAAACATAATATTTTTATTTTAATTTAATACATTTTATTAATCTATAATGAATCTAAAAAATAAGGTATTTTATATTTGAAATAATTGAAATACTTTATGACAGAGAAAGATTATATAAAAATATTTAAATACATTTTAATCATATCCTGAAATATGATTTGTAAAACAAAAACTAGTTTTTTTAGGATATTACTTAAATATTTCAATATTAAAGAATATTTGTAGTTTAGTTTGTTATCAATATTATTAAGAATAAAATTAGGAATAAAAAATTAACAAAACGTTCATACTCAGTTCCAGTAGATTTTACTTTTATTTATATTTTTGTGTCATTGAGAAAACAATGTTTTATGAAAATAATTGATGTTATGTAAACAAATAAGTACTTATACAATTGTAAATGTGGTAATGCTTTTTCTATTTTTCTACACAGAAATAGACATAACACTTCTATTAAAAAAAGCAAAAATATATTTATTTCTATAAAATATGAAAGATGTCTGAGTTTTACAATAGTAATGTTTTATAATACTACTAATTCAGAGTATTAATTATGAATTTATGATATATGTTTATGAGTTTCATTCTTGATTCGCTTTGATTTTATTGCTAACTGTAAATACATTATAAATAAATGTAACAATTTGATTTCAAGTGCGAAAGAAATTTTTCCATGCATAAATAAGTATTTCTTAAATAAGTAGGATGTAACATCTAGCCAAAGATCTCTTTAGCTTTTTCCTTGGCCTTGTCATATGTACTGGTTATTTTATGACCAACTCGGCTCCAAAAAGATGGGGTTGTCGTCTGCATTACCTCTGTTGTAGTTTCTGCCACTTCTGTTGTAGTTACAATTTCTTGTGTATTGCGTGCTGTGGACCGTAGTATTATTGTTTCTCTTGGTTTTTCTCTGATGTCCCATGGATCGTCACCACCCATGGGTGGTAAGGTAGCACTAGGATTCGGTCTGATTCTGATATAAAAATCATCACTACGTGATGCATCATATGGTCCACCACCATATGCTTGCAAGATTCGTGACTCTGGTTTGTCTTCCGTTTGTCCTGTAGTTGGCGTCGATTGTTGCTCTTGTTCTGCAGTCAACTGGGCCCTTTCGTTGCGTTGCAGTGGAATTACCCTTGACGCGGTTTGGTCAGAATCTTGATTAAACTGATCGTCAAAACGGGACGTTTCACTTTGTTGAAACGATCCTGATTGTTGATTATATTCATCATGTTGCGATGATTGAGAAATGTACGAATTTTGATGCTTATTTTCTAATCTATCCTTGTCTTGTGTTTCTTGTTGATTAAAATCAATTGGTTTAGACTGTTGTTGTATACCTTCTGTTTGCTGCGACATTGAGTTAATGTTATGACGGGGATAATAATTGTCATGTGAGCCTTCGACGTTAGTTAAGTCACTTGGATGGTAAGTGTAATGCCATTGCAAACCTACTGTAGCATCATTTGATTTATGCACCCAATGTAAACGGTCCATGTTTTCTCTTTGATTGTCAAATACACTGCTTCCTTGAGTCGAATACAATACCGTCGACGTATGATGATTGGATTCAGGATACGTTGCGCGACTACCCGATTCGATAATTCTTTCATTGAAGTTGTCTATATCAGCCTCCGGGTTTACCTCAACTGGTTTAAAAACGTCATCAATAATTGTGTCTGTTCCATCTGTACGTGGTGGATTGGAACCATGTTTTTGATATCGTGGTCTTGGTTTTGGTTTTGGTGCTGGTTTTACATTAGTTAATTGATCTTGATCGGTTTGTTGAGTAAAATCTCGTTCGAAATTTTTGTTTTGTGACATTTGTTCTAATTGCCATTCGAATTGTTTGTTATTTGTGTTGTAGGATGGATATTGGCGCGATTGCTGCGAAAGATCGTCTATGTTCCACTCATTTTGTTGTGAATAATGTTCCAAGTGTTGAGTATTACGTTTCGGCCAGTTAGGTTTCTGTTGTTGCTCTCTCTGTTGCCCATACTCCAAATGTCCTGCTGTTTGTTGTGAGAAATCATCGAATCCTCCAATCTGTTGAGTTAGATCTTCATTCTGTTGAGTGAAATCTTCCAAATGATGATTACTGTCTTTTGGTTTGCTAGATCTGTGCGGTTGGTGCAGTTGTCCAAATTCCAAGTGTCCTATTTGTTGTGTAAAATCGTGAAATCCTCCCGTCTGTTGAGTGAAATCTTGACTTTGCTCATTGAATTCCTCCAGACGTTGACTTTTTGGGTTACCAGGTTTATTTATTGATTGCGTTTGTTGACCGAATTCCAGTTTGCCAATAGATTGTTGCGTAAAATCATCTGATTTCATTGTCTGTGCAAACTGTTCACTTTGCTGTATCGAGTCTTCTAAGTGTTGATTATCAATTTGCTGTCCGAATTCAAATTTACCTAGTTGAGTTTGCTGGGTTAAACTATCCGATCTTGCTGTTTGCTGTGTAAATTGCTCTAATTGTTGAGTGTCATCTGCTTGCTGCCCAAATACAATTTTACCACTCGTTTGTTGTGTGAAATCATCAGATCCTTGTGTCTGTTGTGTAAACTGTTGACTCTGCTGCATTAAATCCTCCAAATGTTGATTATTATCAATAGTTTGTTGGTCATATTCAAGTTTACTACTCGTTTGTTGCGTTAAATCTTCTAAGTGTGGGTTATCGACAGTCTGCTGGCCAAATTCAAGCTGACCTTCCGTCTGCTGTGTGAATTGTTCACTTTGCTGTGTTGAATCACTCAAATGTTGATTACCAACGGTTTGTTGACCGAATTCAAGTTTACCACTCATTTGTTGTGTGAGATGATCAAGTCCTTGTGTCTGTTGTGTAAACTGTTCATTCTGCTGTGTTAAATCTTTTAAATGCGGATTATTGACAGTTTGTTGGCCAAATTCAAGTTGACCTTCTGTCTGTTGTGTGAATTGTTCGCTTTGCTGCTTTAAATTATCCAAATGTTGATTATTAACAGTTTGCTGGCCGAGTTCAAGCTGACCCTCCGTCTGCTGCGTGAATTGTTCACTCTGTTGCGTTAAATCTTTTAAGTGTGGATTATCGACAGTTTGTTGGCCAAATTCAAGTTGACCTTCTGTCTGTTGCGTGAATTGTTCGCTTTGCTGCTGTAAATTATCCAAATGCTGATTATTAACAGTTTGCTGGCCGAGTTCAAGCTGACCCTCCGTCTGCTGCGTGAATTGTTCACTCTGTTGCGTTAAATCTTTTAAGTGTGGATTATCGACAGTTTGTTGGCCAAATTCAAGTTGACCTTCTGTCTGTTGCGTGAATTGTTCGCTTTGCTGCTGTAAATTATCCAAATGCTGATTATTAACAGTTTGCTGGCCGAGTTCAAGCTGACCCTCCGTCTGCTGCGTGAATTGTTCACTCTGTTGCGTTAAATCTTTTAAGTGTGGATTATCGACAGTTTGTTGGCCAAATTCAAGTTGACCTTCTGTCTGTTGTGTGAATTGTTCGCTTTGCTGTTTTAAATTATCCGAGTGCTGATTATCAATAGTTTGCTGGCCGAGTTCAAGCTTACCACTTGTTTGTTGTGTAAAATCATCGGATCCTTGTGTCTGCTGTGTCAAATCTTTCAATTGTTGTGATTCTTGACCGAACTCCTGATTTTGCTGTGTG